GCTGGCATGTGGTGCTGGGGGATTGAACCGCGGTCTCTGTGCTTTGCTAAGCTTGTTCTAAGTAGGTGCTTTAGACCACTGAGCCATCTCTCCAGCCCCCACCTTTTTTATTTTCAAAGAGAATCTTGCTAAATTTCCCAGGCTGGCCCTTATGTTTGCAATCTTTTTGCCTCAGCCTCCTGAATAGTTGGGATTACAGGTGTTTGGCCCCATTAGAACAAGCCTTCTATAAAAAGGCATTTAATTATGATGACAAACAGGATTGTGGACTTACTATTATTAGACATTAACAAAGAATTGTGGTGTTTAAATGTAGTAATGCTATAGTGCTTTCATCAAAATATACTTATTCTTATAATTGCATATTAAAATACACAGGAATATGATATAATGTCTGCTATATGCTTTAAAAGTAGTTCAATTAAAGAAAAATATAATAAATGAAACAAATAGGATAGAATCCTACTCACTGTTTAATCTGGGAAGTGTGTATGAGTATTTGTATGTGAATAGTCAAGACATTACTCTATATGCTCCAAATATCCATAATTTTAAAAATTACAGTTCTTTGATAAAGGAAGTAGGTATACTTTCTCTAAGAAAAATTTCACAGTAAGTTGCAAGGGAGAATTTTTTCAAGCCTCAGATGAAAACTCTGTTTAGATATAGTAACTAGGACAGTTAAAATGGGTAAGAAATGTACAAAGCCATTCCCAAATGTTTACATAGAAAATAAGAAATTATGATAAGAATGAGATTTTTTTTACAAAAAAAGAATCACTAATTCTAGGGACCCTGGGTGCCATTAATGTTCTATTTCTTTAGCTAAGCAGTGGTTACATGGGTGTTAAATTTATAACTATTTGCTAGTCTGTATCTATAAGTCTTAAGCCCATTTCCATTTGTACAGTATATTTCACAATTTTAAAAGTTGAACTTTTTGTGTCAAGGTCTTGGTAAGTTGTCCAGGCTGGCCTCAAACTCAAGATCCTCCTGCTTCAACCTCACAAGCAGCTAAAGATTGCAGATATGTGCTATCATAACTGTCTTAAAAAGTTGATCTTTTAAAAAAGTAGGAATGCAGAGTAAACCATGACACTCCTCCCAAGTCTTTGCAGCCTAGACTGGTTAAGGAGAACACAGAACCCCAATAGAGGTACTTTGCCTTCCAGCTGGCAAAATGCAATCATTCCAGGAGACAGAATGAAGAAAATATATGACTTTCTTGTGGAAAAACATAAAACAAAATTTCATAACAAAATAATAGAAGAACAAGAAATCCTCTAAAAATTACCTCCCTGCCCACTCAGAATGTGAAATGAAAAGGAGCAAGCAGAAAGAAATCAAGCTCTTCCATTTCTTTTTCTTTTTTTCTTTTTCTTTTTTTTTGTATTTTAGGGAAGGGTCTACAGGGTGTTCAGGGTCTCACTACTAGACCGGACTCGTAGTGATCCGCCTCTTTACAGCCTCCCAAGAGCTGGGATTACAGGCGTGCACCACCACACACAGTCTCAATTGCCATCTCTAGGGGTCAGGGAGATAGTTCAGTAGAATAAGTGCTTGCCTGGCAAGCGCAAGGGCCTGAGTTCAATCCCCGGTTCTGAAAAATAAATTGCCATCTCAGTGCACCCCAGGGGTGAGGTTGGCACGGCAGGCTCAGGGATCAAACCCCTGGCCCCTGCACCTGCTTGCAGGTGCTTTAATCCACTGAGCTATTTGGCGGGCCGTTTCCATTTCTATAATGTTGAAATGGCTTCAAAATGAGGGACTGTGGCTATAAGCATGTGACTCAATTTCCCCTGTCCACTCCCCAGCTTGACTGTTTTTTTCCTTTGTGCTCTTCTCGTAGAGACAAGCCTATTTATATAGTAGATTCATGCCATTTAGAAAAAAACGTGTGTGTGTGTGTGTGTGTGTGTTGCTAAAGACTAAACCTAGTAATCTACCCCTGAGCTATACCTTCAGCTCTAAAAACACTGATGTTTAAATATTGACCTTGTGTCTCACAGCCCTGACTGATTTACTTATTTAATAATATTTAATAATTTTGAGGGATTTTTTATACACAAAAATCTTGCCATTTGTAAATATTTGCATGTTTATTTTTCCTTTCTAAATCTATGTCATTTTCCTTGCTTTAATACCCCAGTCAAGACCTTCAGTAAAATTTAAATAATAGTGATTATAGTGGGCATCTTTGTTCCATGCCCAATCTTAGAAAGCACTTAATATTACCCCATTAGGTATATTTGGCATTGCTTTTTAAGGAATTGCACTTATATCCTAGCAAATTTATGTTCTTTCTTCTTTGTCATGATACTTTTTTTTGCACGTGTTGAAAATAAATTTCCTACATTAGCAAAATTAGAATTCTCCAGTGCCATAAATTAGAAGAACCACTGCAGCATTATTTGATCCCAATTTAATTGGTTTTTTATTGTTGTTGTTTTGTTTTCTTTGGTTTGTTTCAGACGGGGTCTCTGTGTAGTTTGGGCTGTTCTTGAATTTAATATGTACCCCAGGCTGGCCTCAAACTCAGTATTAATCCTAGGCTGTCCTTGAACTCATAACAGTATTCTTGTCTCAGCCTCTTGAGTGCTGGGATTACAGGTGTATGTCCCCATATCCAACAAGGTTTTTGTGTTTGTTTGGTTGGTTGGTTGGGTTTGGGTTTTGCAGGGGGGTGTGTTGTGTGTCTTAAGACAGGGTCTCTCTGTGTAGTTTAGGCTGGTCTTGAACTCACTGTCTGTCCCAGACTGGCCTCAAACTCATAATAGTCCTCCTGATTCAACCTTGAGAGTGCTGCGATTACAAGCATGTGCCACTGTGCCTGGTTTAATCCCATTTAAAACTAGTATTTTTTTCCTTGTTTTCATATCTCTGCCCATCCTGTGTTCTCACTTATCCCATGACACTGTCTGGAAACATTGACCTGAATATAGGTTTCTGCCTGTCCAGTGCCCCCGAGATAGTAAGGGTAGCACAGGAGAAAACCTGGTAGCTGTTGATCAGAGCTGGGCATACTTGCTCCTCCCCACTGACCCCATTGTCCACCTCCAGGCTCTGCCCATAGAATCATATTCCAAACAAATTTAACCTACTCTCAGATCCCTCCCATCCTAAAGCCTCTGAGAAGCATCTCTGCATCTCTGCATCTCCGTCCCGGCCCAGACCCAGAACACCCCCTACACCACTCATCCTTTGCACTTACAGCCTATGTGAGCTGCTCTCTCAGCAGTCCCTTGGCCACCTCTCCCCACTTCCGCACGCGCCATTCTCCAGCATCTCAGAAAGGCCTCAGCGTGTTTTCCCCAGCCAGCTATTGTCCTGGTGGTAAAGCGGCCACACCAGCATCCCACCCCTTCGGCCAGTCAACCAGTGGCTCAGGCCTCTCTGGCCTCCTTTTTTGTCCCGCCCTAGGAAGAACCAGTCTGCTGGTGGGGAGTCTCCCAGTCTGCCTGCTGCTCAGCCTCTCTCTCTCCTCTCTCTCCTCTCTCTCTCTCTCTCTCTCTCTCTCTCTCTCTCTCTCTCTCTCTCTCCCCTCCCTCCCTCTCCCTCTCTTCCTCTCTCTCCCTCCCCCTCCTCTTCCTCCCTCCCTCCTCAGCCCGCCCCTGAGGAAGGGACCGTGCAAATCGAGGAGAGGGGGGGACAGACAGGCCGATTGGGGTCCAGCTTAGGGCCCAGGACTCCCCACTGATGCCTATCTAGGCTGGGTATCCCTAACATCTTAGCACCTGGATTTGTGTGAGCCGGGGTGATACCCAAGCTGGAAGATCCTTCCAGTAGGCTCATGGTGACCTCTTCTTGCATCAGGACCCCCCTCGAATGCTCTGAGCCACCCTCCTCAACCCGGATCTAAAAACCCGGGACACATCTATCAGGCCAACCACTCTCTCTCCACCCCACCTCCTCTTTCTGGCATCCATCCCCTCCCCAACACCTCTGTTGCTGCCTCTGGCTGTGGATCCATACCTCTCCCTATCCCCAGCACACCTGGGGAGCCCGGGGAGCCTGGGTGAGAGACCTCCCCAACCTGGGACTCTCCCTTGCAGAGCCCAGTGTGCTCCCAGGGAGGAGTCTCGGACCCTGTGCATCTGCTAGAGGCTTGGCAGAGGCCCCATAGGGACCGTGTCTTCTGAGGACAAAAGGCGGCGGCCAGCAGGCAGACAGGAGGGGGAGGGTGGCGACCAGGCTGGCAGACGGATGGAAGGGCCAGCCCTGGCCCTCCTCCCACCAGAGCTGTGGCATGAAGATGGGGGTGGGAGTGTGTAGTGGGGAAAGCACCTGCTGGGGCCCCCACCTGCCACCTAGTTGGGTACCCCAAAGTTGTGTGCTGCTCACCTGGTGTTCCCCAATAGCACCAGCACTGCCCAGTACAACCCTCCTGTGCCTGCTTCCCCTGATGCCAGCGATTTAGAACAGTCCAGCTGTATCCACAGCAACAGAAGCAGAAGTGTCACTGGCGGCCAGATTACTGAGGGTCCCACAATGTGCCCTGGGCTGTGGTTTATCCTGGGTGAGACAGCTTGAGCCCCTTTTTTGGAATCCAAGACAGCCGAGCTGAGAGATCCCAGGTAAGCAGTCAGCACCCCTCCACCAAGGATGGGTGGCTGGAGTTTCTCTTCTGTCTCTTCACACATAATTCAGAGTCTCCATCACTGCCATGCTCTCTCTCTCTCTCTCTCTCTCTCTCTCTCTCTCTCTCTCTCTCTCTCTCTCTCTCTCTCTCTCTCTCTCTCTCTCTCTCTCTCTCTCTCTCTCTCTTTCCCCCTCCCTCTCCCCCTCCCCCTCCCTCTCTCCTCCCCCTTCCCTCTCTCCCTTGGTCTGTCTGTCTCTGTCTCTCTGCTACATCACAGGAGCAGGAGCTGCTCGAACACTCCCTAGAAATACCTTATCTTCACTAATCTTCCCCAATCCCAAATGTCCCATGAGAAAGGGAACCACCACCTGTTTACCTGCACAGGGGCTGTTTTTATCATTATGCTCGTGTTGGAGCACAAAGCTGTTTTAATACTTCCTGTGCGCTAGCTGTAGAGGAATTCCTGGGAGCCCAGCTGTGGTGTTCCCTCACAATGTCTGCAGCTGCTCGCGCTCTCTCTGTCTCTCTGTCTCTCTGTCTCTCTGTCTCTGTCTCTGTCTCTCTGTCTCTCTTTCTCTCTCTCTGCATACACACGGGTAGATATGACAGGAAAGCTGCTTTTAACTTTGACCCCCCCACTCCTTTCTTCCTTTGCATCCTTCCTTCTCTTTCTCCCCACAGGTAGCACAGACTTTTGCCCCCTCACCAATGGAAGAAATGCTGTGGTTCTCAGCTGTGGGAGGAAATCACTGTAGGGTTAAAGGAAGGTGAGGTGGGGATGGGGAACACTTTAGACCCTAAGCTGCCTGATGGCTCTGAGAGGACAAGGACCAACTCATGTGACAACCTGGGTCTGAGGGAGGCCAGGCACAATATGCTTGTCCCCACAGTGTGGGACACAGCTTCCATCACATGGTTGTCTGTCTCAGATACCCATGTTGTGTCTGGGACCTCTAGATCTTATGGCTTAGTTCATGGTGGCCAGATGTCCTCTACATCTAGAATGGCAGAAAAACCTGGTACATGGAGAACAAGGATTCTACAGGGACAAATCTCCCAACTACTAGCTTTGCAACTCTACTAGAAGCATGCCACTTATTGAACCTCAGTTTTTGCATCTGTCACAGAGACTGGTAACCCTTCCTTCGTGAGTGTGTGTAAGGGTTAAAGAAGTTGGTGTGTGTAAATAAGGGATGTGCATAGAGGTGGCATGAAAGAATGTCAGTAAAGCTCATGATCAAATTGTTCTTAATTGTTCATGATTAACATTGCTGTTGGTCATTTGGGGGAGGTACTCTCCAGAGTCTCAACAGAGATCTGAGGAAGGCAGCAGGTGGACAAATGGGATGGGAAGCAGGGGAAGGTAGAAGCAGCTCTCTTGTTTGTAAGAGGTATGGCAGGCAGTCTCCCACTTCTACCCTACTCCTGGCTTCTTTCTTTGTATTTGCCTCTGTACACACACACACACACACACACACACACACACACACACACAGAACAAATTGAGCCCCTGTGAGCCAGCAGGGGTCTAACTTGCAGCTTGCTGTATTCCTAGCCCTGACAATGTGTGTCTCTCTGCTGAAGGGAGACTTGGCAAGAATTTGCCTGTGGTAAGTGGTTGGCAGGGCCTAGAGACAAGGCTGAAGCTTTTGAGACCACAGAGTTTCAGGTAGAGCTGGGGTGTGGCCCATGCAGCATGCAGACCTATGGGGAATGAATGCAAAGAGTTGCTTACCTAGAGCCTGGGCTGGGGTGAGATGGGGTCTGCTGGCTGGTGTCTGGACATGGAGATAGGGTGGAACACTGAGTGAGGGATTAGGAGCCAGCAGAGACACGGCAGGAGGGCAGGACAGGGCCCCAGAGGACCCTCTCTGGGAGAGCAGGCTACAGCTAGGGCCTCAAAGCACAGACTTTTTTTTTTTTTTTTAATTATTTATTTTTATTTATTACATTTTTTTAATTTATTGTGTGTGTGTGTGTGGCCAGCTCAGCCCACCAGGGGGCGGGGCTGGATGGCATGTGGTGCTGGAGAATTGAACCACGGTCCTTGTGCTTTGCCAAGCTTGTTTCAAGTAGGTGCTTTAGACCACTGAGCCATCTCTCCAGCCCGCACAGACTTTTTTGAAAAGGAATTTGTTGTGGAAGGCAAAGAGCACAGCCTGGAGCTGAGTGTGGCTGTACACGTGTGATTGAAAGTGTGTAGCTGTATGTATACAGTCTGTGTGTGCATATCTGTTCATGGGATTGTGGGTATGTGTGAGCAGGCCATGTGATAGTGTGTGGGAGTGTGTGGGTGTCTGCATAGACTGGTATATGTACAGGGGGTAGGTATGACTTTGCATGTCTGTCTGGGCGAGCAAATGGGCATGTTTGATTCTTACCCAAGTGTGTATTTCTCTGTCTGTGCCTATAGGCCTGTTGATGTCTCGTTGTATCTCTGTGTGGCATCAATTTGCCTTTGAGTGTATATGCCTGTTTGTTTGTATGTATATGAGGGTGTAGGTTTCAGAATGCTGGAGTATTCATGCCCACCTAAGTGACTGCTTATTTCTGATGGTGTATGTTCATGGATGCCCACATGTGCTTGTGAGTATGCATTTAAATGGTGTGTTTGTGAGAGTACAGGTATGTAAGTGCATGATCATTTATGTGGGAGAAGGTGTATGTATATGAATATGCTTGTATGGTATGTGGCGTGGGTGAACTTGTTGTGTATTTATGTGAATAAGTCTTTGTGTGAATGTCTGTGTGTATTCTCTAGCATTTCAAATTAGGTTTGTACATTATGTAATAGACATTCAATAATTCTAAATAAAATATTTTAAAAATCCCAAAAAAAATTTAGGTATGTGTCTGTGTGCATGTTTTGAGTGCACACCATCTGTAGACAAGCCTATGTGTCTACACCCAATTTAGGCATGTGAGTGTATGTGACATGCTAGTATAAAAAGAACTTTGTGGGTATGGGAGGTTGTATAAATAAAAATATATTTTGTGAGTATATGTATGTATGCACTTTAATTTAATTTAATTTTATTTTATTTTATTTTGCGGAACTGGGGAATGAACTCAGGCCCTTGCGCTTGTCAGGGAAGCACTTATTCCACTGAGCCATCTCCCTGGCTCCATGTATGCACTTTTAACTATGTATATGAATACGGCTGTGTGGGTATGTGCTAGCATGTATGATACACACACATACACATTAATAAGCATGTGTGCATAGATAATTTAACACATGTGTTTAAATGTGTAATTGTGTTTGTGTATACACCATTATGGGCAAGTGCATAATACTTAGGTACATGTGTCTCATTAAATGTTTTGTCTGCACTTCTGAGTGTGAGTGTGAATATATGTTTAAATGTGCCTGACAATGCTTGTGCATGCATATGTGGCTATATACTGGTGTATATGAATATCTGTATGCATATAAATGCATATGCATATGCCTATTTAATTGTGTGTGACTATGCCTGTGTGTATATCTGAGTGTGCAAATGTGTGAATATACCTGTTTGTATAGTTCTAATTATTTGTACTTGTGTGTTTGTATTTGTCTTTATTCTGGATCATATATTGCAGAACAATGTACAGGTTACTCTCAGCTGATAGTTTTTCAGTGTGTGGATATAGTATATAAAGAGGTCTTTGCATATATCTGTGGCATGTGGATCAATCTTGTGCAGATGAGCAGGTGTGTGCAAGATTATATCCACGTATGTAAACATCTTTTGGGTCTAAATCTGTCTTTGGAATATGTGTAAATGATTCTTTTTTTTGTGTGGTTTCTCATTTTGGGTGTGTGAATGTGTGTGAATGCACATGGCGCACATATCTGGCTATGATGTTGTGTTTTGTGAATATATTTGTTTCCTTGTCTGATCATGTGCATATGAGCATGAATTAATGTATACATCTATGTCACGTGAATGTACTCATTGCTATAAGTGTTCCTATGTGGAGGGGTGCATGAAGGTATTTGTGCATGCTCCTGGATGATGGTATGTGGGAAAGATGTGGCTGTGGCCCTGTGCAGATGAGCTGCACCACGAGAGAGTTCTTAGGAGCTTTTGTGACTCTGCATGCACCTAAGTATGTATTTACATGCATGTTTGAGAGTCAGTGATATTTTGATAGACTGTATAAGTTTGTAACAATGTGTAGGCATCCTACCTATTGACGAACTATGATACCTGAACAGTCATGACCCCATTCGGGGGCCTTTCTGGCCTTGATCATGCGCTAGACTTTTTGTAGTTGCTCCCAGGACAATTCTTTTTTAAAAAAAATTTATTTAATACCAGCACAATTCTTGTCATCATTTACACCGAAGAAGTGGGGATAAATCATAGCTGATACCCTACTAGGGGAAGGGGGGCATGACATCTTTAGAAAATAATTCCTTGAAACACAAAAATCTCCCTTCCTTTCCCACACCATTAAAGGCTCAGGGAGGAATGGCATTGTATAGTGCCTAGGGTTGGTAAATAGTTTTCATAGAAAGCATCCAAACTATGCCACTGATTCTACATGTGAATGTGTACAAGTAAATGAAGACAGATATAGATATATGATATTGATAGATGTAGATATAGATCCTCAGAAAGAGAGGCAAATAGAGAAATATGGGGGAGAGATTAAGTGAGGATGTAAGTTGTATATGTGTAAAAGAGAGCATGGGTATTTCTGGGTACGATAGGCACTGAGATATTTGGTTTTATTTGAGAGGGGACAGGTGAACATGAGTATATGTAAGTTGATCTGTTTGAGTGGAGGGTAGTGTGAATGATAGTTTGCATTAATTGGGTAAAATATATATCTGAAGATATGTTGGGTATAGGTTATATATACATTTGAGGCGGTGTGGTATGGGTGTATTTGGGTGGCTCAAGAGAGTGGGAGATTAGCTAAATATCATATGAGTTTGATAGTGTCTGTATACATGTGTGTAGGAGAGATTGTAGGGGTTTCTGGACGGAATATGTCTATGAGAGAGTATGAGTGTTTGGTATATGCAATATTCAAGGGTGGGAATATCTGGGTGGTGATGTACATCAGCCTGCGTGAGAGCGGTGTTGGACACGGTGGAAGTGTGCGGTTGGATGATTTCAGATATATGCAGGAAAGATAACCTGGGCATATGTAGGTTAGGGTGGAATTATATGCATGCATGTATGTCATTGGGTGTGTAAGCGGATGGTATGTGGAGATGTATTTGGTGAGATATAGAGGATATAGTTGAAAGAATATGAATATATGTGCATTTTGTGTTTGGAGTGTAGGCATATCTAGATGATGGTGATTAAGAGGAGTAATCTGTAGTGTGTGTGTGTGTGTGTGTGTGTGTGTGTGTGTAAGAAAAAAGATAGGTGCTTCGGAGTAGAGTAGTAGTGTGAACAAGGATGTGTCTGGTAGGAGGAGTATGTATGTATATCTAGATGCAGTATGAGAGTTTGGATCCAAGTAGGTTAGGGGAGAGTGTGGGTGTAGTGAAGATGTGGGTGCATGTATTGAGACGATATGTATGTATAAGATGTGGGTGTGTCTAGATGGTGTGTGAAATTGTGTGGATATACTTGGGCTGTGTGTGTGAGTGTATGGATATATGTAGAGTGGATTGGGTTTGAATTTGGGTGTGCTTGGAAGGTGGGTAGATGAAAACATGGGTATATTTGGGTAACAAAGTATGTACTAAGGTATATGTGAATGGTATCATGTGTTATAAGCTTTGGTTGTATATCTGGGTAGAAAGTGTAAATATGTATTACAGGGTGTAGGTGTATGTGAATGTGTGTGTAACTGGATAGAGTGTATGACAGTTTGGGGCACATTTGGGTGAGAAGTGATGTGGACAAGATGACAGCATGTACAATATCTGGGGAGTAGGGTGTGTGGTGTTGCACACAGATTGGGTACATGACTGTTGGACATATCTGGGTGGGAAGTGTGTGTGGATATATATTTATCTAGATGGGGTGTGGATTTGAGTGGATCTCAATGATCTGTACAGGAGGAATCCGGAGAGTGAGATATGTATGAGAGGGTGGATGTATCTGAGGGGGGCTATGTTTGATGTGTATGTGTCAGAGTGAGAGACAGAGAGAGAAACAGAGAACATGAGAAAGTGTGGGTGTGCATATGGATAAAATTTGCATAAGGGTGTGGGTTTCTTGAATGATGTGTAGGTGGATATGTGTGTGTATATATGTATGTGTTTGTGCATGCATGTGTTTATGCAAACATATGTATCTGTGTTGGGAATTGGAGAGTGTGAATTATCTGGGTGGGGTGTGTCTAAGTGTGGTGCTTTTTTGGTGGAACCAGGGATCGAACTCAGGCCCTTGCGCTTGCCAGGGAAGCGCTTATTCCACTGAGCCATCTCCCCAGCCCAGTGTGGTGCTTTGGAAAGCGTGTGTTTGTGCTATTCTGAGTGTGACTTGATACTGTATAGTAGGCCTGTCCCAGGTATGAGGGCTCTGAGTTAGGGGTGTAAATTTGAATGCATCTGAGTATTATGTGTGAGAATTTGGTTACATTGAGTTGGAAATTTGTGTAAGTGAGGCTATATGCAGTTGGAGTGCCTCTGAATGTAAGAGTATTTGATGCACATGTACATAAAGGTACGAATATTTAGGCGGGATGTATGTGGATATATTGGCATCAAGTATGCATACAAAAATGGCTGTTATCTAAACAGTGTATGTGAGGAGAGTGTGAATACACTGGTTCCTTTATTCACAAACACTTTTAGGGGTTTTTTGTTTTTGTTTTGTGCAGGGTCTCACTACACAGCTCAGACTTGTAGTGATCCTCCTCGTTTCTGCCTCCCTAGTGCTGGGATTACGAGTGTGCACCACCATGCCCAGACTCACAAACACTTTTGTTTGAGAACAATTTGATTCACAAACAAAAGCATTTGACAAAATTTTGTTTTTGTTTGCAAACTCTGTATCAGGTGACAAACAGGACCATGGCTATCTTTCCCACAGAAACACAAATGAAACCATCTTTTCCAAAATTGTGGAAACAAATTAAGTTTGTGAAACCCAGGCAACACTGTATCTGGGTTGGGGTATGTGAGAGTGTGGGCATATTTTAAGAAGGATGTATGTTCTTCTCTATGAACATTGTATGACAGATATAGGAAGGTTGTATCCAAGTGGTATGAGAGAATATATAGGTAAGTGTGGGATCTAAGATAATCCGGGGAGATGTGCATGTGGGTATATGGATTGACTGTATTTAGATGGTGAATGTATCTGAAAATGTGAGAATATCTTATGTGTGTGTGTGTGCATTTACCTGTATGCTTTGTGTACTCTCTCAGCAGTATCTGTGTGTCTGGGTTAGCATTTGTTTTTGTGGTCATATATATGAATGTGTATATATTTCCTTGGGCATATGTACCTCAGCTAAAATGTCTGTAATGTGAACATCTCCATGTTTATACAAATATGTGTCTGGGTGTGGGGATGGGCACTTGTACCTAAGTGCCTGAGTATATAGGAGCTGGCTCACGGGTGCACATGCTTGGGCTATATATTTCTACATGTGAATAAATTGGATCTGCAAGGTCTCTGGAGACATCCTTTGGATTTGAATCCTAGTTCTGCTATTTATAGCTAAGTGGCTCTAAGTTACTAAATTCAGGAGAAGTCACCCAAACTCAGCAAAACCACAATGTCTTACCTGTCTGTCATCTCATAGGGTGAGGACCAGATGAGTTAATATAGGATAAGTGATTAGAACAGTTCCTAGCAATAATAATCTCTCTCATAATTATTAGTATAGTTATCTTCCCCAGGGGATAACACTGTGTATCTATCTGCAAGTACAAGGGGAGGATCTCCATGTACATGTCTGCCCCACTACCTCTGCCCTTATGTATGTGTGAGAAAACGAGCTTTTCCTGAACATATGTAAGAGTGTGTATATCGCTAATGTGGGTTTATATTTATATGTGTCCCATATAAAACTGCAGGTGTGTAAAAAAGGCAGTATGTGTTGGATGGGTGGAAGGAGTTGGGCTCTGTATATGTATTTTCTAGTACTCCTCTGCATGCAAATGCACACACCCGTATCTATGGTAATGTAGTGCCTGTGAGTGTGGGTGTTCTTTAAGTTACTGGTGTGCCTGCATATGGAAGCATGCTTCCACCTGTGTGTATGTGTGTATGTACATGCCCTTGTATTTTCATCTGGCCATGGAAATAAGTTTGTGATTGTTGGTATGTAAATATGCGTGTGTGTGTGTGTGTGTGTGTGTGTGTGTGTGTGAATCTCTACTGTGTCTGTAAATGTCAGAAGGCTGGTATGTAGGTTTATACATGATAATACAGGTAAATATGTGTTTGCATTTATGCATTGTAAAGGGTTCATATCTATATGACTGTGTATTAAAATGCCGTGTGAGTGTATGTGTAGGTGGGAATGGGTGTATGCATCTGAATTTGTGTCTCTCTATACTTCTAAGCATTGGTGGCTAGGTAAGTGTGCGTGCATGAGTCTGCATTGATCTCCACGCCTACTTGCTTCTCTGCATGTAGCCGTGAGCTCTAATAACATGCCTATATTATTGAACATGTCTGTGCTGTGTGCCTATATCTGAACTAGAGCAGAGTTGTGAAGATGACTGTATAAAATAATGGGATTTAATCTCTTAGTGTAAGAACCAGTATGCAGCGGGGAATGCAT